TAACTTTTTTCTACTTTTTTCACTCTTTTTCTGTTCTGCTCGGTGCCTCTGAGGGACCGAGCAGAACAGCCGAGCCAAATGCCGCTCGGCGGCATTCGGCTATTCTCTCACTGCTGTTCGGGATCTTTCAGAATAGCCCGAACAGCAGTGTGAAGCCTGCCGGAGGTTCGGCTCAGCCGATCCAGATGTTGGATCGGCTGAGTCGAACTCCTTCTGCACTTCGGGTCAGCCGAACATGCTGAGCATGTTCGGCTGATCCGAAGCCACACGAAGCAAGCCGATGTACGGCTGATTTCAGCCGTACCAGCCTGAAGTGAATAGCCGAACAGTGTTCGGCTCACTTCACTTCTGATCGGTCATTCACTTGGCTGCCCTTGGCAGCTTTGTGAATAGACCCCTATGTATATGCCACCAACTTTATGCAACACAGTCTGATCATTCATCAGGGCTTAACAACTTTTAGAATTTGGAGTCTGGACATAGGAATTATAGCATGTAATTGAGATGAATGGGCATATTTATAAAACAATGAATGTGACATTGACTGAATATTTTATGCAGATACATGTTTTTTGTGCATGTTTGGTGAATGTCACATTCACTGCTTTATAAACATGCCCCTAAGTTAGCATTAAGAAATCTGCTCGGGTCCCTGTATAGCATCTTATCCTAGGATGCTGGAATCAATGACTTTATGTTGTTTGGTGGAGTCATAATTATATGTCTCTATTTTAATGATGCTTCGGCTAGCTTCGGCCACTGGAGCCCTTCGGTTCAATAGAACCGAAGGGCTGCTGTACGGGCTATTCACTATAGCACGTTCAGCTCCCAAAGCTAGCCGAGCAGCTTCGGGAGCTGTACGAAGCTGAACAGGGGATGCTGAGCTGTCATTGCCAGGCCAGAGCCAGCCGTGAGATCACAGCTGGTTTCGCCCAGCTGTCAGTTGGGAGCCTTTCGGCCAGCTCCGGCTTGACTGAGCCGCTCGGCCAGCTTCGGGAGCTGTCCGTGCTATAGTGAATAACACGTACAGCAGCCCTTCGGTTCTACTGAACCGAAGGGTTCCAGCGGCTGAAGCTAACTGAAGGATCAGCCGCAGCTACTGCTGATCCTTCGCCTACCTTTGTGAATAACCCCTTATGCTTTTAACTGAATAAATTATAACATAATTATTGTTGCAAAGTTCAAATACTAATGTTTTATCTATGTCCTGCAGGTTCTGTCTGTCACTGGATTTTGTGGACACACAATGGTCTATTGCTTTAAATGAATTACTATACATTTTCTTAAAATCTACTCTGCCTCCATTTACTGCATAATTTATCTTAAATGTATGCGATTTGCTAATTTCATTTATATCTTTCTACTTTTAAATAAATGATCTGCTAAGCATCATCTAACGTGTTTCTGCTTTTTATTAAAGCTTATGAAGATAAAAGATAAAATCTTGTAAAATGTGATTGTATAAATAATATAAAAGCCTGTGCAGCATGTTTAATAATGTAGTAAAGCACACCAAATGCCTCCTAAACCATAAAAAAACCAAAAAAAAAATTCAGGCTCCCTTCACAATGGTACGGTATGGTAATGTGCAGTAAAGTGCGCGCTCTACCAGGCTTTACTGAAGTGCAGGGCAACACATGTACATTGGTGAGGTGATATTACAATGCCATTCTTTAATTTTGATTTGTTCCCAATGGCACAGTTACAGCAGTGGGCAACACACCCACACTGCTGTGCACTACACCACACATGCCATTTGTTACTCTGTGCTGTGTTGGGAAAAAAAGTAATTTTTTTGTAACACCTTAACTCCGGGGAAAATAATTATTAACCCTTGCAGTGGGGCTACCCCTGCGCTGCAAGGGTTAAATGCTTGTTTTTGTCTAGGTGGTAAAAAAAAGTTATTCTCACCTGAACTGCCCAGCCGACTCCATGTTTCTCCGGTCACTAAAGCATGTCTCCTCCTCTTCTGCACAGATGGAATGTTCCTCAGTGTCCTCACATCTATACACTTGTATTAGACTTGATGACACAAGGATTCTTAGACCACAGCAGAGGAGGGGAAGAGAGACTCAAGGGACCGATCTAAGAACAAGCCTTTAGGAATGATCGGGTGAATATAACTTTTTTTTGGCACCTAGACAGAAACGAGCAGTTAAACCTGCTCGTAGTGCGGGGGTAGTCCCACTGCAAAGGTTAATACATTTTTCCTTGGAGTTCTTCTTTAATGCATTGCATTAACTCACATACGTTAACACAACCCAGGAGATCAAGGGGCCCTTGATCAAATAAATATATGCCAGGGATTTCAGCAAAATTGATTAGAGATTCTTACCTGCTTCTGTTGCACCTGTGCTAATATCGTCAATAAATGCAATAACTGCAAACAGATCCCTGAACCATCTTTCTGTATATTGCTTCTTTTCTGCTGAACCTGATACAGGGCAATTTGCTTCTTCAGAGTCTGCTGAGTTGGATTACAGTGTCATAATAAGATAGCAAAAACACTCATGTTATAAAATAAGCAGGAACTGAGATTTCTGTGGGTTTTCTGTATACAAAGAGTGTACAAAATGCCTCCCATGTTGCCATAGCTAACATGGTTGTAAAGAAGTATCAAGTAAATGTTTAGATCAGTTTTATAAAATCATAACTTGTTGAAGACTGAAAATATATGTTATGAACACCAGCCGTACCAGCCTGAAGTGAATAGCCGAACAGTGTTCGGCTCACTTTGCTTTAGGACGGTCTTTCACTCGGCTGCCTACGGCAGCTTAGTGAATAGACCCCGTAGTGTTAATACTAGACATAAAATGCATAACATAAGGTATATGTACCCTCCAGCCAATATTATTGTATGATATTAATGACACAAGGGCACAATATACACCTCTCCCAATGGTATTGACTGGTGACTTTATTAGCATCCTTGATGCTTTATTTGACACCTCCAACCTTCTCAAATCTCCTTCCCTTGATTTGTTACTCTTTGTATAGTTTTTGTTACACTTTGCAACAGGGGCTGACTGGCAACTTTTAGCCCAGGGGGAAAGTACAACCCAGAGGCCCATGGTGCAGCAACTTGGCCCCCCTCCCGCTCTGCCTCTTCCCCCACCTTCTCCCCGCCCCTGTCTGCCACTTTTGCCATCCATGTAACAGTAGTGTGAATGTATTTATCAGTTTAGGAAATGTAAAGCACACTGGCAGTGGAGGGATGCCCCATCAGGGCTGTGCGCGTGCATTACTGCTGCGACCCTGGTAGTTCTGCCACTAACTCAGAAATACATTGTACAGCATTGCAGAATGGCATTGACTATAGAGAACTACAATTCCAAGCAATACATTACACAACAATGCAGAATACTATCAGCTACAGAGGACTATAAATCCAAGCAATAATGACTACCAACAGCTATCGAGAACTACAATTCCCAGCAATACTATTATACAGCAATGCAGAACAGCATCAGCTATAGAGGACTACAAATCCCAGCAATACATATTACAGCAATGCAGAATAATATGAAGCGACATACTCTGTTGCTCTGGATTCTCCGCCTGATGTCTCCAGGGTCTCAGGTGGGCTGGACGGGCTCTCACCAGGGGTCCAGTGAGTTTCAAGGATGCGTGTGTGTGCAGCAGAGGTGGCTCCCTAATTAGGCTCTCAGGTGGCCAATGCGGACTGTCAGGTGGTCAGTGCGGGCTCTTTGCTGGTCAGTGTGGGATCTGTGGTGGCCAGTGGGGGCTTCCTAATAATTAGTGGTGGCTCGGTGGTAGCTCCCAGGTGGGTAGTAGGGGCTCCACTGTGGCCAGTGGGGGCTCCCTGGTGGCCAGTGGAGGTTCCCTGGTGGCCAGTGGAGGCTCCCTGGTGGTTATTGGTGGCTTCCTAGTGCTTAGTGGGGGATCCCTGGTGTAGGGTGACCATTCATCTAGAGCTGCAGCTAACGATTATTTTCAAAATCGATTAGTTAACCGATTATTAAGTTCAATTAACTGGTTCGGGATTAAAAATCGGGATTAAAAAAAATGGCTCCAGTGATGGACTACTATTTTGTATTGAGATTGTAGTCCATCACATGAGCAAGCTTGGAGCGGTGGAAGTAAGGAAAAAAACAAGTGTGGTGTGCAATATAGTGAAATGGAAAGTGTAAAATTATACAGCAATCAATGCAGAATGGCACCGGTTATAGAGGACTACAAATCCCAGCAATAGTACGTTATACAGCGCAATGCAGAATACCACCAGCTTTAGAGGACTACATATCCCAGCAATAGTACATTATAGCTGGTGGAATTCCGCATTGCGCTGTAAAATGTATTATTGCTGGGATTTGTAGTCCTCTATACAGCGCAATGCAGAATACCACCAGCTATATAGGAATACAACAAATCCCAGCAATACATTATACATACAGTGTATAATGTATTGCTGGGATTTGTAGTCCTCTATAGCTGATGGTATAATATACAGCACAATGTACCATCAGCTATAGAGGACTACAAATCCCACTATCCCAGCAATACATTATTAGAGCACCATGTGTGGGAAAGTGCAGGCTTACCTGAGCAGTCTTCCAGCAACTTGCTTCTGAGATCGGCCTGTTTGTCGGTAGCTGTCATCCCCTCACGCCTGCTCCACCTTACTTCTTTTTCTCCCTGCGTCCCTGTGCTGATCGTGGATGTGGGCGGTGCGCATGATGCGCGGAGTAGGTGCGACGTGTGGAGTGTGGATGCGGGCTGGCGGGTCTGGCAGCAGCAAGGGTGAGGCGGGGAGGAGGTGTGGCGTGTTGAGCGTGGATGCGAGCGGGCGGGTCTGGCAGCGTGAGGCGGGGAGGAGGTGCAGCGTGTGGAGCGTGGATGCAGGCGGGTACTTACTCATGAGGTGTGGAGCTAGTTTTTTTTTGTCATTTACACTTATATCTTTATCCTAGATGAATCTACTAAAACGAGCAGACAGAATCTGCTGTGCACAATAACAAACCAACTTCTATCTTCAGTTGATTGGTTGCCATGCACAGCTGCTCCAGATTATGTTTGCTCCATTTTTAATAAATTCCCCTCATTATGTCTGTGACTCATTGTAAATATAGACATTTTCAGCCACAACTAACAACATTTTCAACAATTAGCAGTAGCACCTAGCTTTCCCTGCAAACACACTGAAAAAAAGACTTCTGGGAACCATTTTTGATAGGGACAGGGCTGGCACATTAAAAAAACAAAAAAACAAAAACAAACATTATTCAGTTTTTTCCAGTTTTTTTTGGTCAAACTCAAGTACAACCTGAAGCCAAAGCGCATCTCTACTAGTGACATTGTTCAGAAAGAGTGCTTTACTATGTTGCATTGCTGCGGGTATAATTGATGAAGGTTATATTTGTACAACACAGAGAGAGTAGGGATAGAGTGACTCTATGTTTTTCGTGGGTGTGATAAAGGCACAGAATCTAAGGATTGCCAGGTATTCACCAGAGCCCCCCACGAGAGGATAAGGATTTTGATGCGGGATAGCTACCAGGTTGTGGCCCTCTAACACACCCGTGCAGGCACAGCTGACAGAAAACTGCAAAGGAAGCAGAGACAAGATTCTGGAGACAGTGGCAGACAGGGGAGGTCAGAGGTATAGGATAACTTTTGCACTGTGGTTGAGGATTCACTGGATGAGAGAAGAAAACCTATATAGCCCTGGTGATCAGGATACAAACCGCAGGCTCACACACGTAGGAAAGCAGGTTGATAGGAGAATGCAGACACACAGGAGCTGGATTGTAGGTACACACAAGCAGTGCACAGATGCAGAGGTGCAGGCAGCTCAGAGAAACTCACAGCTCACTGATTAATGCAATTGCAGCTCTCTGGGAATATACACAGGGTCACTCTAGGAGCACAGCAAAGAAACACTGGAATCAGCAATACAGTTAAAACAGCAATTTAAAGGGATATCAAGGAAGCAGGATGAGAGTTGCAAGAAACACAGGGGGGTCAGGCGACTAATATATTGACAGATTGCTTGAACCCTGAGTAACAGGTGCAGTAGCCGTTTAACACAGAAAACAGACTGAGTGGAAGCCGAGCACCTCCAACAGAGGGCAAAACCACATGCCAGAACAAAGCACAGGAAACTGTGACACTATGCACAGGATAATGTTAGACAGGAAAGCAAGAGGAATGGTAAGAATCACTTTAATCAGGGGCAGCACTACCATAAGGCAGCACAAGCAGCCGCCTGGGGGGGTCGGAGAAATCTAAGCACCGGCCCTTCAGACACAACGCCTCACATACACAGAAGCAGTGGTATGGATGGGGCTTTGAGCCTCGGCCCCTCTATAGTCTCAGCCCCACCCCCAGTTCTCTCTGCCGTGTGCATTATCTCCAGAGCTTGCTGGGAGCCCGCACTATGCCCAGAGCTGTCACCCGCCTGAGATTTACATATGATAAGCCATCATGAATTCATATGTAAATATCACAGCTAATTGATATGCAAATCACGGCACATGTATGAAGGAAGTAACACCCACCATTGCCACTAAGAAAGAAAAAGGCCATGTGACCAGCCTGAAGACTGCAGGAAAAAGCATGCGCTGACCCCGCTCTGTCACTTTACGTGGCCTACCACTTGGTGGCTGAGTTGCTGTTGTTCCCAGTTGATTCCACTTTGTTATAATACCACTAACAGCTCACCGTGGAATACTTAGTAGCAAGGAAATTTCACAGAACACCTGAATCCAATGATTTGGAAGGGTGTCCCAATACTTTTGCCAATATAGTGTGTATATAGTCACATCTATAATCAGGAAACACTCCCACCGTTCACTGAATAGACCAGACTGCACATCTCAAGAATAGAAACAGTCAGCGTCTACCATATAACTGGTTTTATGTGAGTATTTTTTTTAAAATAAATCATACTCTGTTTCGATGGTGCGCGCTAAGGTGTTTGCTTTCTTTTTTTGGATAACACGATCTTGGTATTGACATCCTATACTGAGGAGGCCTACAGATCGATATCTGGTGTGGTGCACGTGGTGCATTTGGTGAAGGAACAAGAAATATTTATCACTATTGCTGTTTATATATGGACATCTTCAGAGTTATGAAAATTTAAAGACTTTGCACCTGATCATTTTTTATTCATTAACATTTGTTTGAGTCACTGATTATAGTTTTTTTGTATTGTTCATTGTTGTAGCTCAGCATATGTAGTTATTCATCTTTCACATATACACACTCACAGTGGGTGTACATTCTAGTGCCATAGGGAGGGGGAACGCAAGGAGCCAGTCAGGTGTGCTGCAGTGCAAAAAGCATGCTAATAGGAGAGGAAAGCAGAGTAATAGAGACAGAAGCTCATCACTGTGCTACTTCTACAATCACTGTCCAGTCACAGTTTGGGGTGGAGGTGGGACGTAAATATAACGGTAAAATTGCAGCAGGTAAAGATCAGGTTCCCTTCCCTCCCACACAAAGCAGTGCTGTGCACAATCTCAGGACTGTATAGACAGAAATACAAATCATTTGGCCTGTAAAACAGTTCCTATGTATTTAATTTTAGTTGTATGCAAGAGGATGAAATATTTGCTCAGGCAGTGGAGCCTCAACCATCTGCAAATGTAATATATAGCAAATTAAAAACAAAGTGGAATTAAGGTCACTCAACAGTATATATACACTTGATATTTAATAAGTAGAATGTGCATCAAACCTTGTAAAATAAACTTATGGTATTGAAACAGCAAATACGCTGTGCTAGATTATTATCCAGGATGTTTACTCATGTCCTAGTAGCAATTATGATGTTTGCACACTGAATATTACTTAAAGAACATACAGACTGAACAACAAACAAAGAAAGTTGTGCCAGGCATTACTGAACATTGGTATAACGCTGCTTACCTCTAAGAGGCAATATTGTGTTAAAGGAAGATTTGTAATACTACTGTAAGCTACAATATCAATGCTGTTTTTAAACCAAGTCTAAGGTTACTGTTTTATTTAGAGTAGATGTAAGCCCTAAATAAATGATATGTATGGATCTAGTTATAAATGTTTTTACACATGATTAACACAACTTGCACCCAAGATTCACACATTTTTCTAATTAAATACAGTCAGGAAAATTTGTGAATCCTGGGTAAAATATGAGTTTTGTGTGAAAACTTTACTAATAGACCCCTGAGGGGTCTATTCACTAAGCTGTCGAAGGATCTAGCCGCAGCTTTGGCTGATTCTTCGGCTAGCTTCGGCCCCAGGACCCCTTCAGTTCAGTAGAACCGAAGGGCTGCTGTACGGCTGTTCACTATAGCCCTAAAGCTGGCTGAACGGCCTGCTACTGATAGCTGGGTGGAGCCAGACGTCATCTCACGGCTGGCTCCGGCCACTTGCAGAGACATATCAGCGTCCCTGGTTACCAGGTAACCAGGGACGCCGTTCTGTCATTTACTGAGAACCCGGCTCTAGCCTGTTGCTGGAGGTGATCCTCCCTATTGGGCTACACGGTGGACTTGATGTCCTGCTGGCCCAGGTGACTGGTGGACCAGGGCGCTCCATCCCCATGAGACAGTGCCGTGATCCACTTGTGTACGTGGCTCAGAGGGTGCCTGTTGCTCTGCAGCGTGTAGTCGCTCTGTACCAAAGTCTGTGCATCCCTGTATGCCGAAGCCTGCGGCATGCCACCGGGCTCGGCGTGTGCGATGGACGAGCCGGAGCTTACAGTGTCATTACACTGAGAACCCGGCGGAGCCGCTGCGATATCCAGCTAACCAGGGGCGCCCATCTGTCATTACAATGAGAGCTTGCCAGAGCTCATGGTACTGACAGTTCAGCGTCGATGGTTACCAGGTAACCAGGGACGCTGATCTGTCAGTGCCATGAGAACTCAGCAGAGCCGGCTTTGATACTACCGCCGGCTCCGACAAGCTCTCATTGTAATGACAGCTGGTCCCGGCCAATAGAAAACAGTTGGACGGAGCTAGCTGTCACTGCTAGCTCCACCCAATCGTTTTCTCTTTTTTTTTCTACTTTTTTAAACTGTTTTTATATTCTGCTTGGTACCACAGAAGGTACCAAGCAGAATAGCCGAGCCGAATGCCACTCGGCGGTATTCGGCTATTCACTCACTGCTGTTCGGCA